ACCCGCCCTAATCGGATTTTTAATTTTTACTAAGCAGAATTTCCACATTCTTCGATTCCCACATGGTATATTGAAATAGTTTCCCACATCTTTTTGAATAGTTCTAAAATTTTTATTAATACACGTCATTTACTATAGTAAATCTGATATAACAAAGACTAATTAAACTTCCAATATATTAAACTTAATATACCATAGTTAATTTACTTGTGCAACGAAATGCTTCACTATTGCTGTCTTATCAGTCTTGTAAACATAACAGCATAATTGTGTTCAATAGTTTTAAGATTGGCATTCATTTTATGAATTTATATGAAATTAACTTGATTTTGACATTGCAACCGAATATTGTTATTTGATTAGGCCACACAAAGTAAATTTTTCGTTTTGCATTACCCGCCGACCCATTTTTTTCAATTTTTCGAGATTTTTTTTTTTTTTTAGGTTTCAATTGTGCCAATTGTTCTATTTTTGCCATTTAATTTTTTCCCATAAATTAATCCGGTACCACCCGATGAAGAACTTATTTTTCCGGAATTGTCCGATAGAACTGATAAAAAAAAATTCGATTGCCGACCCAATTTTCTGATTCCATGATATGCAAAGCGAAAAATTAACTATGCATGCCCTTAAATATGAACATGAGTCTATTAATCACTGTAAATTTTTTTTTTTAAAAAAAAAAAAAATCCGACCGACCGACCGTTGATTTTGAAATCCATGTAATGCAAAACGAAAAATTAACTTTGCGTGGCCTTATCTTGCCAACGAATAATGTACATCATTATTGCAAGATCAGATGATGGTATGGTGTATCACATAAAAAATTTAAAAATTGCATAATGGATTTTAGTAGATGATTAAGGGGCATGAGTAGTGATGTGCCATTTATATGATACCTGAAAAATTTTAGCGTACAGTACGTACAGTTCTTTTTCTGGCATCTGATTGGCTGGAACAAGTGATCGGCACAAATTTTAGCGTACAGTACGTACAGTACGTACCGTACTGTACGTATAGTACTGTACGCGGCACTAGCGATGCAAACCAAACTATTTGGGACGTCCCAAACTGCGTGATGAATAGTATCAAACAGTTTTAGCAATAGTAATAACACGGTAAATACCTAATGTGATACTAGTCGTCACATAATTTGGGACGTCCCAAATAGTTTGGTTTACATCCCTACGCGGCACATCACTAGGCATGAGTAAGAAGAATATCCCTAAGAAATTAGTTTAATTTGGTGTGTTATACACTGTGTACGTTATGAGCGGGTTTCTAATATGAATATAACCAAGTAAACTACTCTAAACCCAATAATCACTATGAAACTAATATAAACAATACTCTGAACTAACTAAACTAAAAAGAAAAACAAGATCGTAGCTCTAAAGTTAGTAAGCTTCGATTGAGGCGTGGTGAGATTTGGTCCGGGTCTTCAGAGCTTGGGCCTTGTGAGTAGGTGATGCTGGGCTCAGTAAGTCTTCTTTCTACTTAGACTTAGTTTTATAACTTGATTATTATAATTGTTGACGCTAACGCTTCTAATTCTTCTATTTCGAATATACTGCTTATTTAGATCACGTGTGGCGAAATCACGCTTGCTGCGGAGATCGGTAATATTTTAATATCGGAACTCGGATCTTCAATTTACCGGTGAGGTCACGAGTTGGGTTTATCACGGGTAATTTAGGCGATCAATTAATTGTTCGATCAATTAATTAATTGTCGACCTAATTAGTGATAACAATGCGTCACGAGAAGAATAAGGGTATATTCAAGGTATTTTTCTAATAGTATATAAAAAAGGATTCTCTGGGTAATTTGATATTCTTTCTTATGCTGGATAACCAAATAAAAAGTAACTGCGTCGAAGTCACGGGGACAAGGGGACGTTTCGATAAGTAATTATACTTGAACTATGTTTCTAAATAAGGAATAACTTTAAAATTAACACTTCTACTCTTATTTCGAAGGTGTTAAGCTCAATCTTTTTTTCGTACTGGTCTCAGGTTTTGATAAGCGATAACTTAATTTTTATATTCGGGACAGAAAAAATGGGTTTAATATGAATCAATTCGGGTAAGAAAAAAAATAATTTTTGGTCAAGGAAGCAATGATTTTTTAGGAAGAACTTCTACTATAAAGACTTCGAAGTTTTAGAACTCGAATGAGTTGCTTTATTTTTGAGCAAAAAGGTCGGGCTTAAATAACTTTTGCCCTTCTACTGCGTACAAAGCTATTTTATACTATGTTAATTTTAATTCTATAGCTAGAGATTCGAACAGGTTAGGATTGGCTTAGAGGGAGACAAATCGTATCTAGAGACAAGTTGTCTCTAGAGACAAATTGTTTCTAGAGACAACTTGTCTCTAGATACAACCTATTTTTAGCTTTGTCGATCCTTCTTCACATTTAACTAAATATAACACTAATACTATGCTAATAAAAAAAAAAATAAGAATAACCAAATAAAAAAAAGAGTTTTTCCGGTTTGTGACCACTGGGAAACCGCTCACAACGTCCTTTATTAATTTATGGATATAACTTTTGGCTTCTTTTTGTATGTTAAAATTCATAAAAATAACATCCTGGTGTTTATTCTTGGCAAATACTAAGGCTCATTAATGTAGCTTTTTAGTGTTAGGTAATAGTTTCCTGAAAATTAGGATTTTATATAGGATTTCTTAAACATTAGGGTTTATGAATCAGCTCGGATATTAGCATTTATGAACTTCCTGTCTTTTAAATTTATAGATTTTAAAATTTATAGAACTTCTAATGTTTACATATTAGTTTCTTGATGTTAGAATTTGCAAATATAATTTTCAGCACTTTGTAATAATTTTTTTGATATCTTGTCTGTTTAGCTTTCTTGTTCTTGGTTATGAATTTGTGAGGTTTGGATTACTTAAGCGTCTTGATAGTTTAATGATCTTTATTTCATAACCACAATTAAGGCAACTTGAGTCTTTTCTTCTATATGTATGAAAAACTCTATTAATACACAGAAGGCTGTTTCTTAAGTAAAAATTATGATGTAGAAGGCTGTTTTCTTTCGACGATCTTTGCAATTTTTTCTGAATTTCGTGAGTTTGAATACATAATAGATAGCACTTTTTGTTTGTCGCATTTTGTAGAACTCATTTATCGATAAAAGAGAAATATATGAATAAATAAAATGAGTCTCATAAAATATGACGAAGTTAAAAAAATTTTGAAGTTACAATTATTTATAAGTTCATTTTTGTACTTCTTCGCTTACAATAGAATTTTGATTAACTGGCAAAATTTTTAGGCCGGTGGCTTGTGAAGTTTTTAGATTCAATATTTGAATATGCGACCAACTTTGAAATCAAAAAATATTAATAGAATAATAACGAGTAAATTAAATAATTCTTTTATAAGTTCCTTGCGACTATTTTTGACCCATGAAGTAATTTAAGAGCAACTGATATATTTTCTTTCCATTTCATTGAAACATGTTGAACATTCGCCTTTTCTGTTTTCTTTCAAATTTTAATTCTTGAATGAAATCCATTATATTAATAAATTACATCCAAATAATAATCGTCTTGTAGAATTATCAAGATTTTCATAATAAACGTTATGAATTTCGGCTTTTTGCAGCTGTTCAATCACTTTTTTTTGATTCGGAGATGCTTCATAACATAAGCCGAGTTTATTATTATTTTCCGTTATTTTCAGATACCATTCAAATGCCTTCTTCATAGCAAATTACAAGATTGTATTGTGCAGTGGAATTAACTTTCTCAGCAGGCTTCAAATACCACTCAAATTCCTTTTTTTCATCCTTAATAGTGCCTATGTCAATTTGATAGCACCATTTGAGATTATCTTGTCCAAGTATCACCTTCAGAGTATCATTCAAATGCCTTTTTTTTTGTCCTTGTCTGCGTCTATGCCATCTTGGTAGTAAAATCTGAGATTATTTAGCTCAAGAGAATTGCTACCTTCAGTATATTTCAAGTATCACTCAAATGCCTTGTTTTCATCCTTATCTGTGCATATACCATTTCTGTAGCAGAATCCAAGATAATATTGTTCAAAATAAATTGCCACATTTGGCAGATTTTAAATACCATTCAAATGCCTTTTTTCATCCCTTACAGTACCTTTGCCATAATAGTAACAGTGTCCAAAATAATATTGCTCAATTTCTGCATATTTCAAATGCCATTCACTTCATCCAAAATGAATCTATGTTTAAGAATAATACAACATATTTGCTAAATCGCAACTAAGCTATTTCGTAATATACTGATATATATTTGAGAATAAAATTAAGAAATTAATAATATCATTTTAAGATGCATATTTGGTGTAAAACTCCGAATAGGATGGATCAACGTTTCAACTGACAGCCTTACACACTTAAATGTCGGAATTTTTTTAGATTATCATACTTTGCTATTTATAATTTATTTTAATACTCGAAACTTTGAATCTATGAAAATATAATTCGGTATAAACTTTGAATACTAATAAATGTGCACACGAATAGTTTAATAACTCTGGAATTTTTTGACTCTGAATAAAAAATGCTTTTTAATTAAACAGAGGGACACAACCATGTCTGATTTGGATATCACCTTGTAAATTTAATATGCCAGATTTACATATCTTACTTTTACTTAAGTTTGTGTCTACATTAATCTTACGAGTAGGCATACCAATTTTAAAATTTAATCTTATCCGAATTTAAGTCGAAGTTATAAGGGCACAAAACTTTAAGATTTTTATATAGATCTTTACTTTTGTAACGTTCCAAAAATTAACTTCTATTAAAATATAGCTTTATGACACAAAAAATTTATTTTCATCAAATTTGGAAAACGAGACTCAATCGGTTATACATGATTGTTATATAACCTATTGTTAAAATGTTGATATATACGTACTGGCATTGCAATATTCTAATGAACTCAAAAATTCGGTAATCTTTAAATCTCAAATACAATTTTAATATGTACACCTTAATCTGACATACCAAGTAAATGTTTCAATTTAATCAATTCCTTGTTCAAATCTTTTTCGTCGCATCCCATTTTGCTCCATGCAAAATCAATCCACCATACTGAAGTTTTACCTGTCAATTCATCTCTATTTATCATTATATTCTCCAATCGAATATCACCATGCTTTACTCCTCTTTCATGAATCATTTGTAAACCTAAAATGGCCAATTTTTTCTCTTTTAATGTGACTTCATTCTCTAATTCCGTAAACGATTTTCCAGCTAATGAAACAAAAAGAAAAACAAATGCTTCGTTTAGAACTCCAAATTTTATAAGCTTTGGTATGAAAATTTCTTGAATATCCATAAGAGGACCGAGGTAAATTTTAATTTCATTTAACAATTCCGTTACTAGATACTCATTTTTATACAAGTCTACCATTTTAAAAGCACCTATTTCTTCATAAAACTTGGCTTCAAAAACAGAACCGGATCGACCAACTCCCAATAAATTACCAAAAGAAATTTGACTGCGATTGTAATTTTTCATGTTTTTAAGAAACTCATCATCGTCTCCATTACCCTTTTTATCAGGGCTATTATCTTTGTTATCACTATCCAAACCAAGGTTATCATCACCTTTAGTATTAGGTGGTAAAGAAAGTACAAACGGATCTGCTGTAGATATATTTTCAAAATAACGTATACACTCAAGGAATGAGGCATCTTTATTAGTGTGACCCTGAGTGATATTAACTGCCCGAGAAATGTAGAGTATGTCTGGGTTTTTCTGTTGACGACAAAAAAACCATGTTCGGACATATGTTGTAAGCAAGCCATATCGTAAATCATTAACAATCATATATCCAAATACTTGTCTAATAATTCCAATGATTTTTTTCATGTCTTGCTTCATTATAATTCGTTGTCAATGCTGTATTGTATGCCTCAAATAATTCAGTTCCATGATCTATTAAATTTTGCATCAATTGTTCGGGTTTAACTACTACTATTGAAAGTATCTTAGAAGGAGCTATTAAAAGCTCTTTATTATCTGCACTACAGCGTACAGCATCCAGTCGACCTTTAATACCTTCAAATACATAAGGTTTGCACCAACGTTCCGGTTTTGGTAAGAGAATTAACCTTTGATTATTAATTTCATTCACTGTTTTCAAGAATATGTCAACAACCGAATCTTCAACAGATAATTCAATTTCCTTAATTTCAGGGTTTCTAAATCTGCGGTTGCTTGTATCAAGAGTTAATGAAAAATTATAGGCATTAACAAAAAAGTCATTCCACTTGAGAATTGGTGCATTGATAATTTTTCTCATTGCTGCTTTTACTGTGTTTGTTGTATTAATCGTACGAAGTTCAGGAGTAGAAATAACTGTTCGGAAAAGCTCTGCTTCTGTAAGTAAATCTGCAAAAGAAAGATATAATAAGACACAAAATCGACATTAAAAAGATATAGTTTAGATTGAGAATATTGGCGTTTGAAGAGTCTATCAAAATGTTATGCTATGTTAATTTTCAAAATCATACCTGGTTTTGAAATTACTTTAGACCTCAAATATTTGAGTCGAATGTTATCATTTGGAAAACTATTTAAA